CAGTCGACACAAATCGGGCGAATATGCTGTTTTGTTTTATGTCGTCGTGTTGTTTCCTGTAGTAAATTGGAACAAAATGGTATGTATCATTATTGATGAGAAAACTTCTTCTCTATCCGTCATCAATATAATTTTGAGAAAAATGTACAGAAATTTTGAAAGTTATAGCGATAGGATTAATTTGAATTTCTCTATGTTACATACTGCTTTTTAAGTACCTCATAGATTATGAGTGCATAATGCGCATGATGCATTATTTATCCTTGTTTACATTCGATGAAACAAGGAACATTATGCATAAAACGAAATGCCCCAATAATTTACAGAGAGACATGTTCGATCAATGAGATATTCTGCGGGTATAATTAAAGAAAAATTTATCCAATTAACGAGTAATTTTGGTATATTTAACATGGTATAATTATTAATGAAGTTCAAAATACAATAAAAATAATATTATTACGTAGTAGCAAAATTAAAAAATTAATAATGCGCGATTAAGTATACGGTAGCGTTAAAAATATACGTATGATAACAAAATTGAACCAATGGTTACTTTAATAATATTAATAAACGGAATGTAAAATATTAACAATAAATTTTATTTATTTTTAATTGTTAACTTGCGATTATAAAATTTATTAAAATTCATCTAATGAAATTTAAGGGGATGCTGGAGTGACAGTCGAAATTAATCAAGGTCGAATATAGACTTCTTTAAATTCCAAATTTGACAATATAGTGACATCTTTCATTCGTTTCTTATATGTACTTATTATATGTCGTTGTGTCTCGCTCAAACGCATTCATCTGTCCTTATCTAATATATTGCAACGCCATCTCTTAGAAAGAGATCTACTAAAACATTACTCGGTTTCATGGCTAAACAGTCTAAACTGTCGTACATCGTCGATTTCTCACTCGCTAGACACACAATTTGGTAGAATGCAATTATCCTTTCATTTAGGCGTCAAAACTCAATTCTAGAGATATGACTGTATTCGTCTTTTTATTCTACATATGCTCCTGCCCTAATTTCGAGCATATAACGTGCATATAATTTTTTCACGAAGTAAATGTTTGGTGAGCTGATAGCACATGGATACAGAAATCTGTAATTTATTATTTTTCTTAGCTTTGGACACAAAACACACCAGGAGCAGGTACATTAGCACGGATATTTTAATCGTGGAGAAGGAATTTTTATTCTGTGCAACTAATTCGTAGAATATTGCATTTAACATAAACGCTTGCTTTATCGGTAAAAAAGAAGACTCCAGCATCCCCTTAATTACCTTTACCTTGTGGTACGCTGGTTAAGGGTACATTCTAGTAACCACACTAAAAATAAAGCGTTTTTTGGAATTTTTCTTAAAGAAAACTATAAGACGTACGATCACATATTTATTAATACACATGTCAATATATGAAAAAAATGTTTACAGCAGTATCTTAATTCTAAAATTTTAAGAAATTAGTTAAGAGGCGCAGAGTTGAAAAAATAAGATGACCAAATGGTTGACACGACGATATCTCGAGAACTAATAGCCAGAAATTAAAAAACAAAAATTTTTCTTAAGATTTATTTGCGTGTCTACCGCGTAAATTAGAATTATTGAAAAATATTGAAAATTCGCAAGTTGACATGTGTTTTTAGAAAGTGATGCGAAAAAACGCTTTTATTTCGCTCAAAAAAGTTGAATAAAAATTTCATTTTTAGTTTATTTTAGGTGCTAATATTTATTATACGTCATAATTTAATGATTCAAGATTTAATTTTATTCTTTATTGTCCATGCGTTCGTAATGATGCTATTATATTTTCTGTATTATTGTACAATAAAAATTGAACATTTTTCTATTTTTCTTGATCAGATTATATAAATAAACAAATTTGGACTTCATTTATTGTGTTATTTATTACTATAGTCAAAATTTCATCGGTATTCCATATTACATCCCATTTTTTAGACCCTCTCATTTTCTCACTTTTGACTTTTTTGTTAATATTGACGTTGGACTTAAATTTTGGCGACTTTCATTTATTGGATGCTGTAGCTAACATATTCCTCAAACGTTCTGTGTAAATTTAAAGTCTTCATATGCATTTATATCGGAGTAATATTAATTTAAAAAAAGCTATTCCATAATTCCTGCTTTTACCCTATATATATTATTCGAGACATCTAACTTTAAACTGTGTTGGCGTTCTCTATCGTATTTGTTATTCATATTCGGTCGTTTCTCAAGTTTTAAGTTTAAATTGATACTACTGATACTATAAGACTGTTACTTCGTTGCCCATACTTCTTATCTAGGTGGTAGTGATTAAATTCCATTGTATAATTGTATAATTGGGGTACCATGGATCATACATTAAATATTCATGATGAAACGGGACAACACAGAAAATATTTATAAATAAATTTTATTATTAACAGACTGTGTAACTTATTTGTTTTTATTTCTATTATTACTTTATCATATTACATTATAAGTATTACATTATACGTATTTTTGAAATTACGTATTTGAAATTTCACTGAAATGTGTTTCAAAACTTATAATTTCGGCGAAATGTCCCACAAATTTCAGCAAAATTTTTCCACCAGGATCTTTGTAATCTTCTGTAAGAATGTGATAATTAAAAAATTACTCAGGAAACAAATTCTATAATTTAAATAAATCGTCAAATACTTGCATTAATATATTTACTATTGCTGCAACATTTTTCACATAAATGTTTAATTTTTAACACACAATGCATCATAGAAGGCGTGGTTTAGAAATTTGACGGTCAAACCGATAAGCGATGCCAAAATCGCACGGGTTTCGAGCGAATTTCGCACGGTGAATTGGAGTGCTTTATGCGTACTGCGCTCGTGCGGCTAGCGTAAAAAGCTGATACGACCCCATAGCATGCATCATATTCTTTTTTTTCATAGCGATTCTCGTGCCATGATTGCACGACTTCATGCATAAACAGATTGAACGATGGTGCTATTAGCGCATTGAAATAGGCCACGCGATAGTAGTATCGACTGTCCGTGCCAAAATCGTAACAGATTTCTCTCCGTGTATATAAATATGTAACTGCATATATTGCATATAATATGTATAACTGCTAACTTCAAAAGTTAGTTACTTATCAGATTTATATTTAAATCAATATAAAATGCAAAATGACACATAATTTTAAAATACATTTACATGTACATTTTGTATCAAATTTTCTAATTACATTTTGTTTTCGTGGCAAATAATTTTTAATTAGTACAGTAATGGCGAGTTATATAAAAATTACAGGTAAGTGAAGCAATAGAAATAGTAGCGATGATATCAGGTTATGTATGTTTTAAATTATATACTATATGGGAATATATTTTTTTAAGATTTAAAAAGTGGTCAGGCACTGATCGATTTAAATGATAAAATTGTGCGACGTACAAGATTTCCACCCTTAATCTTAAATGGCCACTGGTTAAAGGAAATGCAACTTTGTTTAATGATGGTAAAAAAGGTAACTTTATATTAAAATAATTTTATTAACATTGTATTATGTGATTAGATATTAAACTTTTTTGTCAGCATTTATTTTTTTGAACGGCGATAGGATCCCATCAACAGTATCTGGTGGACCTTTCGTAAATAACGTATACGAATTTCATGATGCACATTTTCATTGGGGCGAAGATGATTGTAGAGGTGCTGAACATACGATCAATGGTACTTGGTAAGAATGCTTATCAAGTAACTTTTAATAGCTATAATTTTAAATGTAAAATATACAATAATATACAACAATGTAATTTATATGATACAATAATACAATTTAATTAATTTAAGAAAAACAATATACAATCATATAATTAAAAAGTTACATGTATAACTTTATCTCGTTCGAGTTTTTTTTAGTATAACTTTTAATATATCGTAATGAACTTTATCTAAAATTAACTTAGGTATTCTATGGAATGCCATTTAGTGCATTGGAATCAAAGATATCTTACTTTCGAAGAATGTTTAAAACATCGAGATGGTCTTTGCGTGTTAACTTATTTATTCTTGGTATATTTGTTTATACATAATTATATTTGATTTTTTATTCATTATTAACAATTTTGTTTCATAGGTTCAATCAGGATCCAGTCAATGGAACAATGTGAAATTTGAAAGAATCTCTGAAAATCTAAAGTATATTCAGAATGCTGGATCAGAGACAAATATTCCAGCAAGTTAATATTCAAAGAATAGAATGATATGGTTTACATAGCATTTAGAATTTGATAATATCTTGTGATGTTTAGATTCTTTATCTTGGATGCGAATAGCAACAGATTGTCCAAGTTATTATATATATCAAGGATCCCACAGTGGAGATTCTAAGCTGGAATGCGCTACGTGGATCGTATTCCCGGTCATTATTCCTATACAATCTTGTCAAGTTGGTTATATAATTTGAATTATTTTTATATCAAATACATGAACGACACAAAGAGATCACTTAAACATTTTTTAGTAATTATCTTCTTCTATATATTTATCACTATTGATGCAATTAATATTTAATACTTATGGAACATTGGAATTATTAGAAAAAAATATAATAATAAAATGCATATAATAAATACATAACTAATAAAACTTCCAGCTTAATGAGTTCCGAAAATTAAAGGATAAAGATGGTGAATTTATAAAATCGAATTGGAGAAACGTTCAACCTTTACGAGGACAACAAGTATTTTTAGCTGTTTCTTAAGAAAAATTTATATATTGCTTTAAACTTAAAATAAACTACAACAGATTTTTAACGGTTTTAATTTCTTATAACATTTTAACAGAAATTATCTAAAATAATTTTTCAATTTTCGCAACACGCATAAATTAAAATAATTTCTTACATTATATAATCACAAAATATGTACAATATATTTCGTATAAATTAATAAAAAATTTCAAAGTTTATTATCTGTTATTGTTTGAAAATAGATATGATTACCATTATATTTTAAACTTTAATTCATTAAGTCTATGGAAAGAGTCAATACTAGCGCAAATTCGTTCTATTGCTTCCTCCAAAGCTTTATATATGTGAATAAAAAATATTTCTTTGTAAAGTTGTAAATTTAAACCAAAACTTTCATTTTCTTCCTGCACTAATATAGTTTCTGGTTGATCATTTAGTGTTTTGCTACATAGTTCTTGCAAACTGTTATTGGATCTTTGAGACAAAGGCGTCAATTTCTGTTTAACTTCTATTGGCATTGTAGTCTCTTCTCGTATTAGACTTCTTTTCACAAGTTCACTTTCATTTTCAAACAGATTCGCAAATGAGCATAAAATATTATATACAACGTTATATTTATTATAATATTCAACATCGGATTCAAACAATCTTGGTCTGAGACTCTGCTTGCAAAGTTCGTTAAATCGGGCGAGCATGTCACGTTTGTAGTTTGTATCTTCTATCTGTAAAAGGATATCTCGGAGAGAATCTAGCGACAAGTTCCAGGTCGATGTGCTTTCACCGGTTACATCAGAATATATTTTCTGTAATTGCATTACGATATTCGGATGATAATGATAACAGGAATTCAGAGAAGCAAACAGGTCATTTTGCGAAATTAACATCTTATAAAAGGGCTCTAGTGGCTCACTATGCTCCACTCTATCTAATATTTCTTCAATAATCGAACGTATTGTTGAGTCTCGAATGCAGCGATTCAGGTATTCGTCGATCATTTGGTGATCGGTCAATTCTATATTTCGAGTATCGGTTGTGTAGCCCCAGAATCGAAACATAAACGTCGAGGAACTTAATTTTGGATCAGTGATGAATCGCCAGTATTCGGTGAAAACTCCGCACGTTTTGGATCGATACCATACCTTGATCTTCACGATCTGTCCTGGAAGTATGAGCCCTTTCGTCTTGTTGAAAAAGAACCGACTGCCGTGCTTCTCGAAGGTCATGCCGTACATTCGAAAGGGCGAGTATCGCCAATGATATTCTATAACGTGAGTTCCTTTATTTTCTAAAATGATCTCTTTTTCGATTTGTTTGTCGGTCTTACTCGTAAAAGTCAGAGACCAAATGATAGGATCGGTGTCCACTGGCTTCGTTCTGAAGAGAAATTTTTGCCAGACGAATTCTCGGTCTTGAATCTTTAGAATCACTGCTTGATCAGCGTCCTCGTGAGGCTCATCTTCAGATTCTGTAATAGTTATCGGCGGAATTCGTAGTAGCGGTAGTTTCTTTTTCTGATAGGCATGTCCTTGAATGGCTAATGTTGCCATTTCCGGCTCCTTAGGCACCAGCAATGCGATTTTTTCAGCAAGTTCGAGTTTACGCGTCTTTAGATATTCGCTGCGTTTCCAGAATTTCTCCTTTTTTTGAATGGCGAGATCACGTTCCTTTGCTATTAAGTCCGGTAATCCAACATGCATTAAATCCGAAGAAAGAGTCAGATCCTTTTTGCTAAGAGTCAATGATACTTCCGGTAGACAAACATTACCACGATCTGGCAGGAATTCGGGCATTTTCCAAAATTCCGGTCTACCACGATACTTATCGGCGACTATGGGTATGGCAGCGTGTTCCATCAAGTTTTTTATTTCAACGAAAGAGCGAAACTTTTCCGAGGAATTTTGTAGCTGTTCGCCCTGCGAACGACCAGTAACAAATTCGATGTAACGATTTTGCTTCTTGTGGTCGGCGACCCATTTCTTCCAATTTATGAACCCACGATCTTCCGAAAAGGATATATCTTCAGAGAGAAGATTATCTCTAGTTGTTACAAGTGGTTGACGAGTCTTCTTCCAAGTTCGAGGCTTATCAGGTTTACCGATTTTTCGCGCAAAGTCCATTTTCAAAGAACCAAAAGATTATTTCATACTTTGTCTATCTTTTATATTCAACGTCTTGGTCCTCTTGAATAAGAATCTAAATTTATTTTATGTATAAATCCGTTATTTTTAATTACAGTTGCCATACTTGTTCCTTTTTCTTTATAAATGAAGGAAATATTACCTTTTTTTTGTGATGCTAATTAATCATCTCAATGTCATATATCGATTTATTGTTGTGACAGTTACATTAAATAGGTTAAACACATGTAAGGTTATTAATAGGAAGTTATCAAAAAAAGTTTTAAAAAATTTATCAAAGTTTTAAATTAAATTTATATTTCAATATTTAAATCTAATTTAAGTGAAATTTTTAATACAGAAAAGCTTGTTTTAATTTTAATTAAAAAAGATTTCTTTTCTAATTTTATATAGTAGGTGAATGGTATACATGCCACACACATACATATGTAAATAAATAGTTTTAATATCATTAATTTATGCCAGTAACCTATTAAAAAAAATATGATATAAGAAAATAAATAGCAAAAATTTGGGGTCTCTCTAAAAAACTTTTATTTTAAATATGGAAAGTGCTCTATTATCGATAACGCTGAATATCGATAAAATATTTGAAATGAAGTTCAGACGAAGCAAAATTGATGAAATGTTGTATTTGGAGCATTTACATTTAAATTTATAAGTAATGAATATCATATAATACATCGGCATGAATTCTTCGACAGGTGGGATATATATATTGAAATTGTATTTTTTATATGCCTAAAATACTTTTACTATTAAATGTCACTTTTTTATAATTGTATATACATAGATTCTCATGAAGACAACAAAGAAACAGTTAGATTTATACAGAACTTGGCTCATACCGATGGCAAGCTGAGATCACCAATCGATTTGAATATCAGCTATATGAAAGTCGTGAATCTAAATCCTATACAGTGGGTCAATTATAATGTCACACCAAAAAAATTAAAACTCAGCAACACTGGATATACTGGTAAAAAATGAGAGTCATATCCGATGTGTTTACTTGTAGTAGAATAATTGCATTTATTATTTATAGTCATGCTTAGTGCAACATGGCGTGAAGAAGAGCCATATTTATATGGTGGCCCTTTCGTCAGTAGTTATGTCTTTTCACAGCTTCATTTTCATTGGGGTAAAACTGATATGGACGGCAGTGAACACCATATCGACGGTGGAAGGTTTTATATTTTTATTGTCTACTTTTTTATAAATTTTATTTATCTATTCTTTTTATTTAAACTCACTTTTTCTAAAGCATGCCAATGGAACTGCATGCGGTGCATTATAAGAGTGATTATGGAACTCAAATAGCGGCTCTTCGTCAACATGATGGTGTCACAATATTAGTGTACTTATTCCAGGTATTGAAAAAAATATTATTTTAAATAAACCAATTCTATTAAGTAATATTAGAGTATTCTTAGTATATTATTTTTTAACACATTTAAATGTGATTTTAACATTCAAGTAGAAATATATCTTTAGATGTTAAGAAAATAATAGGTACATTTTAGGAGAAATAATATTATATACAGCTGCAGGCAGCCCCTAATCCACTTCTGGATGATATCATAAACACATTACCTTTTATCCAAGCAGCTAATTCTTCCATCCGTTTAATACCTTTTCCTATAATAAATATTATGCGATGCTTTCAACGTGATTACTTCGTTTACTGGGGTTCCATAACCATGACAAATATCAGAAATAGCGTACTTTGGTTAATAAGCAGAGAACCATTAGGAATATCCATTGAACAAGTAACTTATGCCATGTTGGAATAAGAATTATCAATAAACGGCCTAAGGAATGATTAAATAAAATAATATTCTCACGTAATTAATTTTTTATTTTATAATAGTCTCGCTTTTATTTTTTAAGATTGCAGAGTTTCGAACATTATGTGATGAACGTAAAATGCCGATTTTAACAAATCGTCAGCCATTACAGGACAGAGGTAATAGAAACGTTTTCCACGTATGCCCTAGTGGATCTAGATATGCAACGCTTCTACCAATTTCACGTGATGGCGATGATAAATATATTCACCAAGACGATGTCAATAACAGTGATAAATGATTTAATTTCTATTATTTATTACGATTATAATAAAACAATTTATAAAGTAACTATTTCTCAATCATATTATTTATGAATCTAATCATGGACTTGTTTAATTTATAATTTTATTTTGAACTTTTTAATCGCGCGTTTATTTCTTTTTTCTGCGACGCCTCTTAATTCTTTCATTCTCGAGATCGCATTCCGGGTAGAAAGAGGCGCAATCGATTCCACCCAAGCCCAGAACGGATGCCTTCACAGAATCCAACATTGCCGACCATGGAGTTCTGTACAGCATTCTGCCCGACAACCAACTCATGCCCAAGCTGAAAAAGAGGGTGTCAATGTTATCGATTTTGGGATATAATTACAAATTCGCCGACTAATGGTATTACGTTGACTGATTCGTGAGACGATAAAAGTTTGTATTTCACTTTGTTAAGGTTCATATAATTACTGTTGAAATCTATTACCTCCAAACGGGAATCCAAATTCTGCGATCATCTTTAGTTTCTTTGGAGTATTGATTATCTTCACATAGTATCCTGCGCAAACAATTACCAGAATCTGCTTCGGCAACCATTACCGCTTCGATGGATCTCAAAACGCGATAGGATAACTCGTTCAAGTCCTCGTTGCTAATGATAGACGAGGAAAGAGATATCGTGGCTCTCTTCTTTCGCCTGCCGCCGTTATTATTATCCTAAAATGTAACATTTTCAAACTTTTCCATCAAAGTTACATATATATGGCTCTTCTTTTGTATTAAATATTTTATTCTTGTTTTTATTCTCAAAAAAATATTTTAGAAAATAAGGACGTATTTTTTAAATATAAATTTTTAAACATAATTTTTTTAAATACATTTTTAAACATAATTTTTTTAATACCGTAGCATTACATATAAGCTGAATAATGAATAATCCGAATGATAAGAATGCAAGCGCGGTGAGTGCAATTTCGAAGAATTCCTTGAGCGAAAGTTCACTGCCTTTCCCCTTGGAATAAGAGGGTTTATGATCTTCATGGTCTTGTTCTTGATGATGTGGTGTATAATAGTATTCTTCGTGAGCAGATGGGAAGAAGTCAGCATGATGTCCATAGTGATCGCCGTGATGATGGCCAAACAAAGATCCGTAATGGAAAGAATGACGTCCCGTTGATGATGATAGCATGTCATCTATTCGTAAGATATATAAGATATGTAAATATCACATCTCACCAAGTCTTTCATAATGCATTATGTTCTGTAATTGTTTTTGCAATTTACCTTCGTGAGGTGGATCATAAATTCCCACTTTTCCGTTTGATTCTGGCAGAGGAGCTTGCATCGCGTATCCCGTCACCTCGCCATCGAATTCCTCAATATCGTCGTGCTGAACATCTTGCTTCTTTATTATTTTTTTATGAGGCGCATAGTGTCGATATATATCGTTTAACGTCGTCATTCTGTTGTATTATCATAGATACGTTAAAAAGAAAAGATTTTTTTTATCTTACATCATTCCCTCCCTCTCTTTTTGTACATTACAGCAAAAAATTATAAACGTTATTTCAGAACTAGAATATATCTCTTAAATATGCCTTTTTCTCAAATATTTTAAATTAAATTTTAATTAAAAAATTTAATAAAGTATTTATTTTGAAAAAAATATTTTATGTTAAAAATTAAAAATAAATTGTTAAAGAAAAATAAAGTTAAGTTTTAATATAAAAATTTAGTAGAAAAATAATTTTATTCAGTAACATAAAATCTATCAAAGTTACAAGTAAATGTCATTAGTTATATAAATATAATTTGAATTGTAAATGATTTTAAAATTTTTGCGTGTTTACCGTTGCAGCCAGTTTTTATATTTCGTGCTTCCTTCATCCGCCAAAAGTTTATCGTGTACCGTAACATTGTCGTCACCTAAGAACTTGTGATTTAAATTGGTTGACAAAGATTCGGGATGTCGTTTTACTCTAGGAGTGCTCACTTCTTTAAAAATTTCTTCCGCTATGTAGCCGTGACAAAGATACTCATTCATTCTTTTCCTATAATTTAATATATTGACTAATTTAATCTCAACGTTGCACATCTAAATTTTCAGATTGATTCGTTACCATTTATGAGCTTTCTACAATAAATCATTACCTACGCTTTAAGTCTTAAGCCATAAGAAGTTGATCAATTATAGTCGAATATGAGAAGAATAATCAACTATAATTAGTCAATTTCTTATGACTTAAGGGGGTCTTAAAACTGTCTGTATTATCGATTAAACCATATAACTTTGTATAACAATTACTTTTCCTCTTTTTTACAGATTCAAAAATCCTTTTTCAAGAGCGTGTTTAGATTCCCACCTGGGTGCTCCCTGTTCGGGTGACAATAATAAAGTTCGGTAAACAATAAAGATAGAGTAATATCTGAGTGATACTCGGATGAGAATCCGAATATAGCCTATGATTAACCCTTTGGCCTACAACCACGAGTGAGACTCGTGGTAAGGAATTTGGTCCATAAACAATAAGCACGAGTCAGACTCCTTACCACGAGTCTCACTTACCAAATTCCTTACCACGAGTTTCACTCGTGGTTGTAGGCCAAAGAATTAAAGTACATGCATTAATACATATTTGTGAAGTGGAGTTTATGCCAAGAACGACAAAAAATTTTGAAATTGAGATCTTCTTTGCCATTTCTTAGTCCAATAGCGCTCTGGAGCTGTCACGTCGTGACAACATTTGCTTTATATAAGAGCTATACAGTCTGTACTTACGAAATAGTAGTCCACAGACTAGTAGTTTGCACAAAGAAACAACGTAGAGTTCTTAGAAATGGACTTAGACGTCTAATTAAAACGTTATTGTTGTACGAAAATTTATGCGTATATATATATATATATGTGAGATATTGATGCAGTAGTATGTAATGATGTATCAATGACACTTAAATCGTCTGTGTGTAAGTTCTACTTACACTATGACTAATCGATTTTAGAATCCCCTTAAAGACTTAAGAATGGGC